ACATAATAAAAGCTTACTGAGAAAATTTTATATATATCTTCTAAACTAAGTTATGGAGCCCACTGTTACAGCACTAGTCTAATTTCTTTGGGGAAAAGGAAAGTTGCAAAATTAAGTCCATAAATGTACCAAATAATAATATTAAATTGGTGTGTGGAAGTATCTCTTACACACACACACACACATATCCTGCAACTATGAATAAACAGAATGAGGCAAAAATTCTTAATTCTATCAACAATGTGCCTCACAGGTTCTCTGATAAGCTGTGCAACCAAAGCAATACTGAAAATACCTCTCCCCATTCTAGTTCTTATTTTCAGATTTTAAACTTAAAAAACATAAAAAAAAAAAGACCAAGTCATGAAATCTTAGTCACTGCAGAAGTAGAAAAAGAACCCAAAAATAAAAATCTAATTCATGCTCTTCTGACATCTCTCAGTCTGATCCTTACTATGTATGAATACATCAGGGTCCTCATTTACCTCAAAGTGCTGTTAAGAGATTTAAAGAGAGTTTTTCGAGTTAGGCACTTAGAAAAATGCCTGGCACATCATACTTAATCAATATTAGCCATCTTAGCAACACAGCCTTGGCACACTTAACCAATTGATTCCTTCAATGGTAAAATGGAAATAAATAATGCTTCTTTTATAAGGATTTTGTGAAAATCAAATAGGAGTATGTGGAAATAAATGACTTATAGTCCAATACAAATGTGAAGTTCTTATTTAAACTATATTAGAAAAGAGTTGAATTCCTCAAAAGGGTCAACATAAAAAAGACAAAGGCTGTGAAATGTTTCAGATTAAAGGAGGCTAAAGAGATATGCCAATTAAATGTAATATCTGACCTTACATCAGATTCTATATTGAAGGGGGGAAAAAATTTCAATGAAGAATATTAGGTCAACTGAAAAAAACAGTAATGTTGACAGCTGACTGAAATATTTTATCAATGTAAATTGGTGAAGTTGATAACTGTACTTTGGTTATTTATATATGAGACTATCCCTATTCTTAGAAAGTACACACTGAAATATTTAAGGGTTAAGAACTAGGAGGTATATAATTTACCCTAAAATAGTTCAAGAAAAAAATATTTATGTTTATATATGTAGTAAATGGATGAATGGATAGATAAATAGAAAGTAAACAAGCAAATGGGGTAAAACATTAAAAGGTGAATCTAGCTAAAGAGTACACGGGTATTCTTTATACAATTTTTGTTTTTGCAACTTTTTTAAAATTTGAAGTTATAACCATGACTGGACACAGTGACTCAGCCTGTAATCCCAGCACTTTGAGAGGCCAAGGTGGGAGGATTACTTGGGGCCAGGAGTTCAAGACCAGCCTTGGCAACACAGCAAGACCCTGTCTCTATAAAAATAAAAATTAAAAAATTAGCCGGGCATGGTGGCATTAGCCTGTAGTATTAGCTATTTAGGAGGCTGAGGCAGGAGGATCATGTGAGACCACAGGTTTGAGGTTACAGTGAGCTATGACTGTGCCACTGCATTCCAGTCTAGATGACAAAGTGAGACTCTGTCCCTTAAAAGAATGTTTTAAAAATTAAAAAAAATTAAAAAATGAAATTGTAACCAAATGCAAAGTTTAACAAATGCACACAACAATTGCAGTAAATGTATGTATGTGTGTATATATATATATATATATTTATTTATTTATCACACTGAAGAATTATAGAAAGACATAGGATAATTTCCTTTAAACTTATAATCATGGGAGGTAAGAGCCATAGAAAATGCTAACCATAAGAGTTTTAATCCTTAACCATTATTCTTTGACCTCCTATAACCAGTTACAAGTTCTCTTCTGTTAACAATTAATATTCTTTCACATAGTTGTAAAACAGTAATCTTTTAGAGGGCATACTCCTTTAAGAATATACTTTCATTTAAAAATTTTACCATCTGGGTCAGGCGCAGTAGCTCACACCTGTAATCCTCAGTTAAGGGCTTAAACACACACACACACACACACACACACACACACACACACAGTGACAAAGCCAAAACGGATTATTTACTTTTTTTTTTTTTTTTTTTTTAAGATAGCTGTAGAAGATGAGATCGATTATTTACTAATTTCAAACTATCCTCTGGACAATGCTACTTTGTCCAGTCCACTTTTAATTTTAATGATCGTCATTGTTACTGAGAATGCCGTGTCCTATATTAATACTAGAGAGCTGACGTATACAGAACACTGAACAAGCACATAAACGAGAAGGTTCCCAGATTGAAGAGTTTATACTAAAAGTTAGACAAAGACAACCTTACTTTAAAGGCTAATTAATCTATGGAATTCAGAGAGGCTTACAGATGGCACAGTATTTATGATTTCAAACAAGAATAAGGCATTTCTATAAACAATGAAAGCACCTGCATATTATACAGTATTAAAGTTTCAAAGGCTGTCAATCATGTGCTTCATACTAAAAAATGAAAACCACCTGTGGTCAAATATGCATTTCTTCCCATAGAAAAAGATACATTACAATAGTTCTAAAAATAAATACTCAACACTACCAATAAATACAGACAGTAAAAACAGTAAAAATAAATGAAACCCATAGGGAGTCACCAAATACAGCATTCCAACTTTATGTCTGAGCAACTGCCTTCAGGTATGTGGATACATAATAATTAAATTATTCTGTAGGCAAAAATAATACACAATTTTTAGACTAAATGCAACACATACCACACAACACACACACACACACAATGTGGTATTTGGTGTTTTGAGGGGAGGATATCTTCCTTTACAAGAAAAAAGGACTCTGGGAGGCTGAGGCGGGAGGATCGCTCAAGGTCAGGAGTTCGAAACCAGCCCGAGCATGAGCAAGACCCTGTCTCTGCTAAAAAATTAGAAAGAAATTAATTGGCCAACTAAAAATATATAGAAAAATTTAGCTGGGCATGGTGCGCGTGCCTGTAGTTCCAGCTACTCGGAGGCTGAGACAGAAGGATCACTTGAGGCCAGGAGTTTGAGGTTGCTGTGAGCCAGGCTGACGCCACGGTCTTAGCCTGGGCAACAGAATAAGACCCTGTCTCAAAAAAAGAAAAGAAAGGATTACACTGTAATTCTGTTTGGTAAACTGTTTTGCACCAATGTTATCATAATCATCTTTGATATGCACTGAAATGATGGCACAGTATTTCATTATCTTGTATTTCATAAAATATTTTAATTAATCTCCTCCTGTTGAAAGTACTAGTTTTCAACATTCTTTAACAAGCCTCATCATTCAATCCACTGTTAGAGAGCAGAAGGGCTAGAATTTAGGTCAGTGTACTCCCAGCCAATGGTACTTATACAATAGCTCCAAACTGCTTTTAAACACCAAACAGAGAGGCTTGAATCACAGCATGGAACGTTAACTTCAGTGAACTATGTGGTTAAATACATGCCTGTCTGAAAATAGAGACTTGTGGAACTGCTTATATCTGGAAGCTTAATCTCCTCTGTTAGCAATCTGAAAACATACAATCAATACTCTGGCCCATTAATCAATTGACACATCTCCCCTACAGGCATATCTGATGATTAACACAGACTTCAATGAATGAACAGCTGGCCAGTCCCTGCTTCTGATCATTCTGCCTCCAGACAACTCTCCCACCAAGCATTGTACCTTGGAAAAAGAAAAGACAAAAAAAAAAACTCCCCAGCTGCAAAATATTCTCCCTTTAGTGCCACTGTATATAAAATGTGGTGTTTCGTTTATAAACAAAACTTTATTAGACTGCAAGAAAGACATATGTAAAAGGAAAACTTAACGTTTTCCTTCTGAAGGCTGGATCAATTTAAGAGTCAAAGTTCCAAGTCTATTCACTTGTGTTTTTAATTTAAAAGCATTATTGATTGATTAATAGTATAAATTCTTATAATCTCCTTTTTAGAAACAAAATAGACTATTAAGGCCAGATTCTGTGATGCTGTAGAAATGGGCTTCAATATCCTGAATAAAGTAATACTGATATAGGACTTCATAAAACTCATGACTTAAAACTATCTGCTAACTTAATTTTAAGAATTAAATCTTAAGACTACCTTAATTTTTATAAACTAAGCAAATACATTCATAAGGAAGAAAAAAAAGAAGCAAGACTTGGGTAATTTGAAGTTTGAACTGCATTCAGGGCTGCCTTGAAAGTAAAGCCCCATTAGTGGAGCACAGAAGTGATGACAACAGCACTGGACTGAGAGTAAGACCCAGCTTGAATCCTAACTCAATATATAACAGGTCAAATGATTGAGGTGAGGTCAAACGGGTAATAGACATGAGGTTCTCTGTACCATAATGGCACCATACAGAATATAAGTTTCAGTTATAAAGATTATATATATTGGCCAGGCATGGTGGCTCACACCTGTAATCCTAGCACTCTGGGGAGGCCAAGGCAGGATAGCTTGAGCTCAGGAGTTCGAGACCAGCCTGAGCAAGAGTGAGACCCAGTCTCTACTAAAAAAGAAAAAATTAGCCAGGTGTGGTGGTACATGCCTGTACTCCCAGCTACTCAGGAGCAGAGGCAGAGGTTGGCTTGAGCCAGGCTAATGCCACGGCACTCACCGCGGCACAGAATGAGACTCTGTCTCAAAAAAAAAAAAATACACACGACCACACTATATATACATATATATATATATGTGTGTGTGTATATATATATATATATATTTTTTTTTTTTTTTAAGGGAAGACCTGGAGCTTTAATGTGATTCTTTCAGTCAGAAAAAAGGCTGCTAAGGCAGTGAGTGAGGAGTAACCCAGGAAAAGGGGATCGCTTTTACATATAGATTAGGAGGTATAATTTAAAAGGTCCTCTTTCAAAAGCTTTATATTTACTGCAAATGTTTTAGGACTTATTGTACTCTCCTTTTCCTTGCACTATTGTTTTACACAATTGAATTTAAAATATGAAAGTTTCTCAATTTATTTATCCAAAAAAAGAAAATCCCAGCTTTACCACTTACCTCTGATACAACTTCATCTAGTTGCCGCTTCAATGACCCATTCTCTTTCTTCAGTTGCTCGTTCTCTGAAAGGGCAGCCTTTAACCTTGCCTCTAACCCTAGCATATATTCTTTCTTCTTCTTACGGGACTGACAAGCAGACTCTCGATTTTTTATCATACGTTGCTGTCTCCTTAGCACAGCAATCTGGGAAAAGTTACAATGAATTAGAATATTCTGATTTTAGAATCAGATCAAAATAGATCAGAATACAGTAATTTTTACAATTATTTTTAAACAACAATTTTTCAAAACATAGGTTATTACTGGTTGCTTCAAAACAGGTTTTAAAAAATACTGCTCAAACCAAATAAGTTAAAATCAAATGATTAAATAAGGCTTTCTAAAACCTGAATGTTAAATCATTTCTTCTGGTGTTTTCTAACTAAGGCTTATTTATTGATCATCCAATTTTCCCTTTAGAAACTCCTTCAGAAAGTAACTTTAAGTATGTATGTATATATGTATATGTACATCTTTACATTTCTGGCCCTGGTTGATTATGCTCCAGAACCATATACCCAATTACTTAGACGGCCACTTCTACTTCCAGAGTCATTACCACTTCAAATTCAGTATGTGCAAAATGAACTCCTTATCTCCCTCCCTAGATTTTGGAAAATCTATCCATCTTCTATCTATAGTAAATATCTCAAAGAATATAAAGGAAGAAATGACCAAAGAATATAAAGGAAGAAAAAAAAACTATTATTTTTCTTTTATTCTCTATAGTCACTCCTTCTTTCAATCCCTCATTCACTATGTGAGTATATGCTAATGCCCAAGTTTCTTCTGGAGAAAATGTGTCTCTGTTATTCTTTTCTCTCTATTCCCTCTGCCACTCTCCTAATACAGGCACTCATTAACTCATCCCTAGACTACTGCAATAGACTCCTAACTATTTTAATTATCTTGCAAACTTCCCCAAGGAAACATTTTTATTACATTGCTCCATTGCAAAAACAAGCCAGTCATACAACATCCTTGTTACCCACCTTTTAAGGTCTTCCATAAGATGACCGCCCTCTACCTAACCATATCTTCTTCTTTAACTCTACAGATATTCAAGGCACATCCACCAATCTTATTATTGAAGGCTACTCCTTACTGTCCACATCATCTAATTTGTTCTTTTATTCATACTGTTTATTCCCATTTGGAATGTCATCTCCTCCACTAACCTAATTCTAAAGTCTCTCCAAACTCCAAGTATTCTCCCCCACTACGATTTTTATTTTCTTTGCACATCTTATATCCTTATAATTTGGAAGATACACTGTAACACTCTAATGGTCTCAATCATTTCATGAATGTTACCACTGTCTCTCCACCTAGATTTTATACCTGGGAAGCCAAAACCATGTCTAATATTACTTTTTCATTTAATACTCACAATATCTAACATAATAAAAGCTTACTGAGAAAAATTTTTATATATATCTTCTAAACTAAGTTATGGAGCCCACTGTTACAGCACTAGTCTAATTTCTTTGGGGAAAAAGGAAAGGTTGCAAAATTAAGTCCATAAAATGTACCAAATAATAATATTAAATTGGTGTGTGGAAGTACACAGATGCCTGAATTATTGACTTCTATATATTTTTAATGGACTTTTAAAAATAAGCATTCTACTGTGGGCTGTTTAATAACTCTTACTGAAACCAGTAAATAAAGTTAAATAATTTAATACTGATTTCTCTTTCAAAAAACAACAGAATTCCCCCCGACACTACATTTCCTAGAAACAGAAATATACCAAAGCCAACCAAGTGATCTCCCAACACCAAATACTGTCAACAACCTTCAAATCAGAATCCATAGGAAAAGAAATATTACATGAGATATCAAAAAGGCATGTTTTTTCTTTTTTAACTGAAATTTTACAAGAATGCTAATCTTATATAACCATCATCTATAAAAATTTCCCTGAAGAGTAACTATCCCATTCTTCAGTAAGGCTTAAACACACACACACACACACACACACACACACACACGCAGTGACAAAGCCAAAACGGATTATTTACTTTTTTTTTTTTTTTTTTTTAAGATAGCTGTAGAAGATGAATCGGATTATTTACTAATTTCAAACTATCCTCTGGACAATGCTACTTTGTCCAGTCCACTTTTAATTTTAATGATCGTCATGTTACTAGAGATATGCGCAGTGTCCATGATATTAATCACTAGAGAGGCTGACCGTATACAGAACACTGAACAAGCACATAAACGAGAAGGTTCCCAGATTGAAGAGTTTATACTAAAAGTTAGACAAAAGACAACCTTACTTTAAAGGCTAATTAATCTATGGAATTCAGAGAGGCTTACAGATGGCACAGTATTTTATGAATTTCAAACAAGAATAAGGCATTTCTATAAACAATGAAAGCACCTGCATATTATACAGTATGTATAAAGTTTCAAAGGCTGTCAATTCATGTGCTTCATACTAAAAAAATGAAAACCACCTGTGGTCAAATATGCATTTCTTCCCATAGAAAAAGATACATTACAATAGTTCTAAAAATAAATACTCAACACTACCAATAAATACAGACAGTAAAAACAGTAAAAATAAATGAAACCATAGGAGTCACCAAATACAGCATTCCAACTTTATGTCTGAGCAACTGCCTTCAGGTATGTGGATACATAATAATTAAATTATTCTGTAGGCAAAAATAATACACAATTTTTAGACTAAATGCAACACATACACACACACACACACACACACACACCAATGTGGTATTTGGTGTTTGAGGGGAGGATATCTTCCTTTACAAGAAAAAAAGGACTCTGGGAGCTGAGGCGGGAGGATCGCTCAAGGTCAGGAGTTCGAAACCAGCCCGAGCATGAGCAAGACCCTGTCTCTGCTAAAAAATTAGAAAGAAATTAATTGGCCAACTAAAAATATATAGAAAATTTAGCTGGGATGGTGGCGCGTGCCTGTAGTTCCAGCTACTCGGGAGGCTGAGACAGAAGGATCACTTGAGGCCAGGAGTTTGAGGTTGCTGTGAGCCAGGCTGACGCCACGGCATTCTAGCCTGGGGCAACAGAATAAGACTCTGTCTCAAAAAAAGAAAAGAAAGGATTACACTGTAATTCTGTTTGGTAAACTGTTTTTGCACAATGTATCATAATCATCTTTGATATGCACTAGAATGATGGCACAGTATTTCAATTATCTTGATATTCTCATATATATTAATTAATCTCCTCCTGTTGAAAGTACTAGTTTTCAACATTCTTTAAAACAAGCCTCATCATTCAATCCACTGTTAGAGAGCAGAAGGGCTAGAATTTAGGTCAGTTGACTCCAAGCCCAATGGTACTTATACAATAGCTCCAAACTGCTTTTAAACACCAAACAGAGAGCTTGAATCACAGCATGGAACGTAACTTCAGTGAACTATGTGGTTAAATACATGCCTGTCTGAAAATAGAGACTTGTGAACTGCTTATATCTGAAGCTTAATCTCCTCTGTTAGCAATCTGAAAACATACAATCAATACTCTGGCCCATTAATCAATTGACACATCTCCCCTACAGGCATATCTGATGATTTAACACAGACTTCAATGAATGAACAGCTGGCCAGTCCCTGCTTCTGATCATTCTGCCTCCAGACAACTCTCCCACCAAGCATTGTACCTTGGAAAAAGAAAAAAGAACAAAGAAAAAAATCCACAGCTCAAAATATTCTCCCTTTAGTGCCACTGTACTATAAAATGTGGTGTTTCGTTTATAAAACAAACATTTATTAGACTGCAAGAAAGACATATGTAAAAGGAAAACTTAACGTTTTCCTTCTGAAGGCTGGATCAATTTAAGAGTCAAAGTTCCAAGTCTATTCACATTGTGTTTTTAATTTTAAAAGCATTATTGATTGATTAATAGTATAAATTCTTATAATCTCCTTTTTAGAAACAAAATAGACTATTAAGGGCCAGATTCTGTGATGCTGCTAAGAAATGAGCTTCAATATCCTGAATAAAGTAATACTGATATAGGACTTCATAAAACTCATGACTTAAAACTATCTGCTAACTTAATTTTTAAGAATTAAATCTTAAGACTACCTTAATTTTTATAAACTAAGCAAATACATTCATAAGAAGGAAGAAAAAAGAAGCAAGACTTGGGTAATTTGAAGTTTGAACTGCATCAGGGCTGCCTTGAAAGTAAAGCCCCATTAGTGGAGCACAGAAGTGATGACAACAGCACTGGACTGAGATAAGACCCAGGCTTGAATCCTAACTCAATTATAACAGGTCAAATGATTGAGGTGAGGGTCAAACGGGTAATAGACATGAAGGTTCTCTGTACCATAATGCACCATACAAATATAAGTTTCAGTTAAAAATTATAATATTGGCCAGGCATGGTGGCTCACACCTGTAATCCTAGCACTCTGGGGGGCAGGCAGGATAGCTTGAGCTCAGGAGTTCGAGACCAGCCTGAGCAAGAGTGAGACCCAGTCTCTACTAAAAAAAGAAAAAATTAGCCAGGTGTGGTGGTACATGCCTGTACTCCCAGCTACTCAGGAGGCAGAGGCAGGAGGATTGCTTGAGCCAGGCTAATGCCACGGCACTCACCCGGGCAACAGAATGAGACTCTGTCTCAAAAAAAAAAAAAAAACACACACACACACACACACATATCCTGCAACTATGAATAAACAGAATGAGGCAAAAATTCTTAATTCTATCAACAATGTGCCTCACAGGTTCTCCTGATAAGCCTGTGCAACCAAACAATACTGAAAATACCTCTCCCCATTCCAGTTCTTATTTCTCAGATTTTAAACTTAAAAAACATAAAAAAAAAAGACCAAGTCATGAAATCTTAGTCACTGCAGAAGTAGAAAAAGAACCCAAAAAAAAAATCTAATTCATGCTCTTCTGACATTCTCCAGTCTGATCCTTACTATGTATGAATACATCAGGGTCCTCATTTACCTCAAAGTGTGTTAAGAGATTTAAAGAGAGTTTTCGAGTTAGGCACTTAGAAAAATGCCTGGCACATCATACTTAATCAATATTAGCCATCTTAGCAACACAGCCTTGCACACTTAACCAATTGATTCCTTCAATGGTAAAATGGAAATAAATAAGCTTCTTTTATAAGGATTTGTGAAATCAAA